CCCGTAGAGATGGAAACAGTGGCCACGAGTTCACTGGCCGTGCTGCCTTCTCTCGGCGAACCAAAGTGCACGTGGCGCCTCGACGGCCACAGGAAGGGAGTTTCACAACGCTCGTGCGATGATCCACCGACCAAAGCGTGCTGCGCCACACAAAACCATCCACCAAGGACAGTGGTGGATCATTTTCAGGCTTAAAGTTAAATTTGGTACTTCAGCCTAACGACTCACAAGGGTGGAGGGACCAACGCACAATCATCCAGTGTCAGGAACACGGTTTTGTCGCGAGACAATGGGTGACCACTGCTGGTGATGACAATCGCTGATATGGCTTCTATTGTCCAGCAGGATAGGAAACTGCCTTTTCAGCTAGCAGCTTGGAATGTTGATAGGGGGGGGGCTCAGTGAAAATGTGAAAAGTAAATTCCATATTGGGTAATGGATGTGATGATTTATCGTTGCTCAAACTTTCGCCAATCTCCATATATATGAAAGGCAAAGTTGTGATTATGTGTGTCTGTTCAAACTGTTTAGCGTACTTCCCGACATGCAACAAACTGCAAATTTGCCATGTGGGTACTTTCCAGACTGTACACCATGCAAAAATTATACAAATACACTTTTGTTATTTTTTGGGGGGGGGGAGCTCAATAATGCATATATTTTTTGCACGGCAAGTGAGCTGTGACGTCACATCTGTCACGTGACCCGCGCACGTGGAAGCGAAACGCATTGTAGTGTCGCGGTTAGCGCGCTGCGCTACGAACCCGGCGACCCGAGTTCGATTCCCGTTCACGGCCACCACCGGTGACGATTATTTGAACCGCTCCTGGGCCTCCCCTAGGTCGACTCAGCCTCAAACGAGTAACTCATGTGGTGTGTGAACATCGCCACTGGGGAGACAAAGGCGGCCGGGCGTCGTGAATCCAAGTCCCTGGCGAAGCCGGGTAGTAAAGCTAGTAAATAATTAAAAAAGTGTTATTCTCATGGTAATGCTCATAAGTTTGAGGAATGCATCGTCAAGTATGGGGCCACATTGGCACGCTCGGTTTTGTTGATTATGATGCCCTACACTCACTGTACTTTCCCTACCGGGCATCACTGCCCATGCGGATACGCGGCTGCTCTCGTATGTCACTGCAACCAGCTGGACGGTGCAGAAGTGTGACACGTGGCTTGTGACCAAGAAGGTTGTGAGTCGAGCATTCATTGAGCCCTTTATCCCTAGGTCATCAATAAATTGAACACCGCTTTGTGAGGAATTCAACAGGCATTGTCCTCTTAACGCAACAATCCTTGCTCCCGTCATAGAAATGTGGAATTCCCATCACCGCTATAGGACGGTAAACAAGAGATGAGCACACCCCTCCCCCCCAACCTTATATGTACGATTGTTGAACTTATTTCGCGCTGAATGTAGCAAACGGTGCTAATCGAAGGTGTGGAAAAGTTGCAATTGAAATTACCCTAAAGTACGGGACTTCTATACCCACACGCTCAGAAACTTCCCTGTGAGCTCAGTTGATGGAGAAGAAAAACATTACACACATTCCTGCGCAGGGAGCTGGTAGGAACGTTGGGTTGCTCGGTCAATGGCCAGGGTCAACGGCGGCGTGGTGTATTCCGCAAAAATGCCCGACTGTGAGGGCGGGCACAAGCCGGCGTGAGTAGGTTAAACGTTGAGTTTTATAAGGGCACCACGGGGTGACCAGCCCCTCCTCACCCAGCCCCACCCCTCCCACCCCCCACCCAGCCCCACCCTCCCCACCTAGCCCCTCCCCACCCAGCCCCTCCCTCCCCACCCAGCCCCTCCCTGCACGACGGACGGACGGACACAATAATCCCCTGTGGGCTGGTGTAACCAGGAGGTTCCTACCAGCATAACACGGTCAAACAATAATAGAGCGGCGGACTACAGAGAGGTGACCTTCATGGAGATGTAATGTCTGTACGCCGCATAAAGTCGTGTTCTTCTTTGAACGCGAACTGGCGGCATCAAACGCACCTGCGGAACTTCGCACGGGCGTGTAGCCAGACGTGCGAGTACGCTCTCTCCGGATTGTTGTGGAATTTGACCTCTCCGCTGAGCAGACACGGAAACCCTCCACGGGGCTCGGGGCATAATCAGGGGATGATTAATTCCAGGAATGTGTGCTAAGTCTTTTTTTAGCTTTTCTCCCATTCCTTATAAAAAAAACCCAGAAAATACCTTCGGCCCGTTTCTAAATATAACGTGACGGGTGACGCAATGACGCCCTCCCCCCCTCCACCCCCTCTAAGCCGCGAGGGTGAAATATTTCAAAAGACTGGGTTTTATTTTTTTATCATCGCGTGAAATACGCACCCCTTGGAAACGACTTGAAGTAAATATGTACGGGGGGAAAGGAATGTCTGTCGTGTGCGTGTTTGTCGACAAGGCGGTGTCCGGGAGAGCTCCTTTAGGAGGTGGCAGGTCAAACCACAGAGCCCTGTTGTTGGTAGCACTAGAGACCTCACCGCCCTCCTCCCTATCCATCCATAGATCTCCAATCAGTGCGATCGGGCAGAACACCAAGTCTTTGTGCCCATTCCACAGTTCCAGCTAGCTGCACCTTCAAGAGCGGCTTCGTTTGAGAGTGTCCCCCAGACGCTTGATATCATCCGCAAAAAATCTTTAACCTTGTGAGAGGGAACACAAATATTTGGTGGTGCGCGCAAGCACAAATAACAAGCGCAAACTCGTCACATTTATCAATAGCACTATGTGGCCTTAAAAGGAAGAATAAAAACACATCGTAGGTGACGTTTCTGGCAATGGCCCTTCTTCATGGCGCGTAATTAGAGGCAAAGAGAGATCGTGTGGATACGAGTTGGGGACTGCACTATAAACACCACGGGGCCTGAAAAGACATTAAATTAATCAGTATATCAGAATATTTATTTATACTGGAGGAATCCGATGAGCGATGAAGCTCTTTTTTCACAGATGTCCAGTAGGGGCACAGGGTAAGAACGTTACAACAAGAAACAAAACAAAAACATGATAGTCGTGCAAAGTACAAGAAGGGTAAACATATGACCCAAAACACAAACAAACAAAACGAAACCATCCCCATCCTACCAGGCAAAGCCCACTGAGGTATTCAATTGTTTTTCAGAAGCGACCTGGCCGCAAATGATAGCTCAACAAAGCTGGCCCCATCATTTGGACATTTATAGCACCGAAGTAATCTAAATAATCTCGATGTATGTTTCTAAAAAAAATGTTTCCAAACTCTCCAGCTTCGTCTGGCACTTTAGTCAGCGGGTCTTGCATTTCCTGTGGACACTCCAACCACCTCCCTGTCTTCCGCGTCCACCACCCCCGGGGCCTTCTCCACTGTGTGGAGTGAGCGGGCCTCACTTTTGTGAGCGAGCCACATTGTGTTTTCCTTGCACATTCTTCGAGTCTGCTGCTTTCGTCTGTGACTTTTCCTGTTTTTGTTTAAATGGGTGTCGGCGGCGGTGCCTGCGTGAACGCACTTGAGTTGCGTGGATGAACGCGCGACTGTTCCTGAGCGACCGTGAGTGTGTTTATTTGTGTGAGTGTGTGTGTTGGATTTGGGGGGAGCGGTGGCGCAGCGGTTAGCACGCTGTGCTACCAATCCAGCGAGCCGAGTTCGATTCCCGCTCACGGTCGATACCAGCGACGATTATCTGAACCGGTCCTGGGCCTCCCCTAGGTCGACTCAGCCTCAACTGAGTGCCTGGGGAGACAAAAGGGGGCCGGGCGCGGTGTTGGCCACCTACCCCTCGTGTGCCGTACCGGCCTTCATAGGTGCTCGCTAACAGCACAAGGCTATACGGGGAATCTTTGTCTTTTTAAATGCTACATAGATAAAAGTATTGGAAACTTTGGTAGTGATTTATATGTGTCCTTTCTTCAGAAAATGTGTCTCTTAAACATTTTCAGAATAAACATAATGTGTTTAATGCTTAAAATACATACAAACTATTCGAATATTTTTTTTCATGAGTGAAAAAGTTTTGGAAAGTATGTTTAACAAAAGTGATTTACTCTGCGAATATGATCTCATTTGAGTGATATGGGTACGTAAATATATCACCCGATGGGTTAATAAATAAATAATACTAATATATTCACAATAATGGTGTACAGCTATTTTTTTCATCCACTACTGGATTAAGGCCTTCCAATGCTGTTTTGGTCACGTGAGTTGTTTGACCATACTTCACTATGCTGGTTGCTGTGGGTTCATGAAGGCTTACGACGGAAGGCGAGTCGGACTGATGGAGATATCACTCACCACTAGTGTCAACCATGGCTTGGACTCAGACTGAGTTTGCTTGGCTTCATAGAGCAGTACACAAACCACTGCATCACTTGCATCAGTCCATAAGTGAGTTAAAACTTCTATCAAATCACATTTCATATCAAACCACATTTGTGTCCAGAGCAATTTGAATGTTCCGTCATCACCAATTCCACAGGGACTGTTAAACACATGACTCAGTGCTGCCACTCGTCTCTTATGGATTGTGGAATGTGATCAACATATTTTTTAAAACCTATACAAGGCACTCTTCCTTCCATTCTGTTCCGACTCGCTTAAAATGTCCGTGCAGTTGTTAACTCTCGGAGATTGAGTGCCTACGAACTGTTTTAAGCGTTTTAGATGGCGAATACAATTGGCTTTGCCTACTCTAGTAATCGTGGGGTGTGCACGCTCATGATTAATATTGACAATGCTCATTGATTCCCTTACCTATCAATATACAATGATTGGGAAAAACTAGTGTGTTTTGCGGCAAACTATTCATAGCTTCCATAGCCCAGTGAATTTTTGTTCAGCCTGCCGATAATCCAATTGTCGGCAAATCCCTTTTAATTAATCCTGGATGGATTCCACTGATAAGGTTCATCCCCCTTGAAACGACGGCTGGATTTACGGCATAAACTGCGGGGGCTATGACGAGAACAACAGCAACAGCGATCAAAGCACAACCTCTTCTTATGAACTCACAAATTCTTTGGGAGATGATTCCTCTTGGTCAGTGCTGTTCTTATCGCCTTGTTTCCCCTCGTCTCTGGTCGCGTCCTTGTCTTGTGCCTGCAAAGTGAGGAATAGTGCCAAATAAATCACGCGGCGTATGAACGTGCATTGCCATATTCAGGGCTGATCTCCCACATATTAAGGACATAATAATAATACGAGTCTTGCACGTAGGGGAACAAAGCCAGATATAACAAGTGGACAAGCCAGTCAAGACATAGAGCCTCCGTGTGTTGAGGGAGATTTTAGGGTACAAAGAAGTTGTGCACAAGCACATGTTAGGTGCGTGATGATTACACCCACTGGAAACAAAGCAGACACACTCGAATCCCTTGTTAATGTACGTATGTTGAACCTAGTTCACACCGTACGGACGTAGCCAAACGTGGTAATTGGAGGTACCAGCGGGGGGGAGGGGGAGAACAAACTAAACACAAAAAGCAGTTATCAAGAAGTGAGGAACGCAAGTGGGCGGCGAGACGCATCGCGAGAAGGAACGATGGGTTATGGGATGAGGCTTGTGCAAAAGATGACAGCCAAAGGAGAGAAACATGTCCAAAGGGGACGACCAGTGTGGAGATGGAGCGACGAAATTTATTCATCGTACGCAGGACCGAATTGTGACGTCTGGAGGACAGTGAGGGATGGCATCAACGTGCAGAGGCCTACTTCCATCCAGCAGTAGATAAAGAATGAGTGCTGATGATGATGATGATGTTGATAATGAGGGGTTGTATGTGTAGACCGCATGCCAGAGGTCGCAACCGGGTACCCGATACCCGTACCCTACCCGATACCCGGCTACCCGTACCCGGCCGGGTACGGGTACCCGTTTGCGACCCTGGTGTGGCCGGGTACGGGTACGGGTAGGCCGTGAGTCACTGGTGAGTAACTGTTTGTCACTCATTTCCCAACGTCTTGTCTCTTCTCACAATTCAAGTTCCTAGAATCAACCCACCCGCGCCTGCAACATGGCTTCATCCCAGAGGTCGCAATCGGGTACCTGTACCCGTACCCTACCCGATACCCGGCCGGGTACGGGTAGCCGGGTATCGGGTAGGGTATGGGTACGGGTACCCGTTTGCGACCCTGGTGCGGCCGGGTACGGGTAAGGAATCAAAACCCGTTTGCGACCTCTGCCGCATGCCTAATTTTTCCCCCGGTTCAGTTTCCCTTTCTCTCTGAGCAACGCATTGGCCAAAACAAGCACGGCTTCTGAATCATTGAAGTTGTCTGTATCATTTTGACCATATATAGGCTGATCCTCTTTATTAAATTCTCACGGGGGGGAAGCGACACGGCCGGAAGCCTTGGCTTGTGGAAGGCGCAGTACGACCCAAGAAAAGTAGGCACTCCCACGGGAAGAATATCGAGCAAGTTCTGTTCAGTTCCCTGCTGAGGATTCTTAGATTGTTGTTGTTGTTGGATTTTCGCTCCACGCGCCGGGGGATTCTTCTGCAACTCAATTCGCTTTCCCAAGAAGGTCACACAGCATGCGGAGCGAAACGTCAGAAGTCGTGTCCGCCGGACGACGCATGGTGCTACCCGAACACGCAACGGAGGGCAGCTACACAGCAGCACAAGCGGGAATACCCCACACAGAAGTTCCATTCAGTGTCAACGTGTAGCAGCGGTTTTGCCATACTTCGTGGTGTTCATAAATGTATCACCATCATCATCCAGTGTTAAAGAATTATAATTGGGACAGCGGTTTCAGCTGGCTCGATCCAACCAAAGACAAAGATCCCCCGTGTAGCGATAACAGATTGTTGGGGCAAGTGCTGTTCATTGGCACACAAGGGGTGGCCAGCACCACACCCGGCCGCCTTTGTCTCCCCAGTGGCCATGCTTACACACACCACACCAGGCGCTCCTTTGAGGCTGAGTCAACCTAAGGGAGGCCCAGAATCGGGTTAGATAATCATCACCGGTGTTTGCTGTGAGTGGGAATCGAACCCGGGTCGTTGGGTTCGTAGCGAAGCGCGCTACCCGCTACACTATCGCTACACACGCACACACACACGTGCTAGGTAGGAGACGGATGCTATCGTACGCGACTCGTCCCTCTACGCCTGCATGTGTCCACCAAGGTGTTGATGACGTGGCACCTCTTTGAGATTCGAGTCTTAGGTGTTCACCTGGTGAAGATCGCTCAAGACTATTCAGGAAAAAAACACAATAATTGTGTTGCCCACCGTATCAAGTACGCAGGTCAATCTGTTGCCTATTTTCTCCGGGTCGTCCGGTTTTTCCCTCCATATTTAGAATCAACGTGCGTTTAGAGTATTTGGCTGCTATACATTTCCACGTGATAAGCCACTTCGTTGAGCTATTATCTGTGGACAGGTCGCTTCTGAACAAGAGCTACATAGCTCATTGGGCCTTACCTGCTAAAATATTTTTTTATTTTTAATAGTTTCATATTATTATTACGAATTCATCATTATTACAAATGTTTCCCCGGTAAAGAGCCTCACTAAGTCTCAAGACTCTTTTAATGCCTAATTCAAATTCTTTAAAAATGAATAATATCTGAATGGATAACCTGTATTGTGTCATACTGTAAACCAATTCATGAACACTACATATGCATATTACCAATAACGCAAACAGTTAAATAGACAAATGGGATGGGCTAGTATTAATCGGATTGCTGTTAAGCTCTGATGTTTTTTAAGATGCTTAACCTGAACCCTAAGACTATAAATTCAGAGTTTTGAGTTTAGCTCATGTATTGTTTGGGTACAAACAAATCACTCTGAATGCACCGAAGTTGACCCTGGATAGTGCTTGGATGGGTTCCTACCACGCATAAAATAGGCTGCTGTCTGTCTCCTGCAGGGCAGTGCAGCGAAATCCATTGTTGCACTGTACTTGTATGCTCCCACCTTCGCCAACCCACGCTGACCAGTGTGGTGAAGTATGGCAACAAAACAATCACCGGGACTGCGGTGTGGCCCTCATCCAGCAATTAATTGATATACACATCGGCACAAACTGGAATAAAAGTACATTTCACACAAATGCACATAGGGGACCTAAGGCCGCCGAGTTTTTTTTCCTTCCATAATGACGTTCACGCTGATGCTGCAGTTTAGAAAGGGCTGTTTGTTCGTGCAGAGACGAACATCTGGTCATACAAGTAAAGCATTTCTGTGGGAAGCACACATTACGTCAAAGGCTTAATTGTAGCTCGTGTTTTCATACGATAAAACGCACAGGAAAGAGTTCAGTGTGTCACGGAGACACATGGACAGACAGACGCACATGGAAAGGTTGCCTCCTTGGACAGAATGAAGCGAGGACGCACACATGCGCTGCACGCTCAACCGTCAAATCTGAGACTTTGTACGTTAAGGGTCCCACGGCCTGATGTGGATGCCCTGGGACGCGTTGGTGCTGCCCTGGCTGCCCCCGGCTGCCCCCGGCTGCCCCCGGCTCTCTCTGGGGCCCATTATCATCATTGGTGTTGAGCCCCACGCTCCAACACTCCTCCCCCCCGGCCCCTCTTGTAAAGCATCTTGAGATGGGATTGGGTTTCGGTAGTTAAAGGTGCAGCCCTGCAATTACATGTTCATGCCACTGTTGGTAGAAGGGCCTCCACTAGAGGGACCCCAAGAAGGTGTTTGTCCCACTGGCCAAAGGTCTGTGGTGTAGGATTTATACTGTTAGGTAGATAGAGTCAAGAAACCTGCCCCATTGTTTCAATTGCCATGCTGATAGGTCGAGCCGGCAACCTGGTGGTGAGATGTTAACTCCCTCGCCTGGTATGCAGGCGGTTGTGGGTTAGATCCTGACCCTGACGCCTGCTGCTGTATATTTGGAGTGTGCATGTCCTCACCGTGGTTGCGCCGATTTTTTTTCGGGTCCTTCGGTTTTTCACTCGACGTTTAGAAACATGCGTTTTGAGTATTTGGCCGCTACGAAGTTGCACGCGATAAGCCACTTCGTTGAGCTATCATTTGTGGCCAGGTCGCTTCTGAAAAAGAGCTACATAGCTCAGTGGGCCTAACTTTGTAAAATAAGAATAAATTGTATTTCTTTATTTAACTTTACCTCTGAATTGCAAGTCCAGTGTGCTAACCATTACAACACAGGCAACATTCGCCAATTGCATTTAGATGCTGTACAAATTGAAATTGTCGCCGTTGTTAAATACAGCTTCCTATCCCCTGCAAGAGAAGACGGTCCCAAGCAGGACCAGGTCTGGGACCACACAAGTTCACCTCCTAAGCGGTGAATATCACTGTCATCGTAGCCTCCCACACAAAAAACAGAGACAAAGATCCCCCATATCGCCGGAACAGACTGTTGGGGCAAGTGCTGTAAGCGAGCACCAATAAGGGCTGGCACGGCACACAAGGGGGTGGGTGGCCAATACCACGTCGGGCCCTTTTTGTCTTCCCAGTGGTAATGTTACCACACCGGGTACTCATTTGAGGCTGAGTCGACCTAGGGGAGGAGGCCCATGACCAGTTCAGATAATCGTCACCGGTGTTGGCCGTGAGCGGGAATCGAGCTCGGTTCGCCAGATTCATAGCGCAGCGCGCTAACCGCTACACTACCGCTCCTCCCACACACAACACTTCTACTGACCATACGCCGCATCCTAAAGGAAGCTGGTGCAGGGGTTACAGGGTCGCTCGGCAAACAGTCCTTCCCGCTTTGCATGTACGTGCGTACCTACGTTGAATGTACGTACGTACGTTGAGTGCGCGTACGTCGAATGCACGTACGTGCGTTTAATGCACGTACGTGCGTTGAACGTCTTTCGCAGCGTACGTAGCCAACCGTGCAAGTCGGAGGTGCGCGGGCGGCGGCGGAGGGGGTGAAAGACAACACAAGCCTCACACAACGTGCGATCCCCCCCACCGCACCTGCTGCAGTTGCGCGATGAAGTCCTTGGGCCGGCACACGGTGCCGACCGCCAGCGTCTCGGCCGCGCACCGCCGAGCGAACTCGGCCGCGGCGCGGACCTCGGCGGGCGAGAGGTCGTGGCAGAGCGACGGGTCGCGGTCGTGGGGCGGCAGCTGGCGGCACAGCTGCCTCTGGCGGTAGCGCTCACCCTCGGTGCCCGCCACCGGCTGCTTGTCGTCTGGCAATGCACTCATGAAGCCCACCGCCTGCACAGAGATGGAGGATTCCCAACCCCACCCCACTAAAGCGTTAACCTAAGTATGTATTACATACCGTAAAAAAAACAACTAAATAATCAAATGTATTTACCTTACCTGTCAACCCATGCAGTTTAATCTTATTAAAGTACAGGGAAATTGAGTTTTCAGGTCCATACGGCGAACAGCCGTTTAGATACGGGCAAAACATTTGTCTATTTGTTTGTGTTTCTCCCTTGTGATGGGACTTTGTAGGATGAACGCTGAGATTTATGAGGGCACGGGGTGACCAATAAGGTCTGAATTGATCTGTAATAAGGTAGGCACCGATAAGGTGTTGACATGTATGATTTACCTATGTAACATTTACAAATGTATTCGACTCAAGGTCAATTAATCAAACATAAATCACTTGCCACACTTATTTCTTTCAACACGTTTTTTTCCTTCCGAGCTTCAAGCCGTGGCAAAGTCACGAATTATGTCGTCGTATATTAATTCTGATGGGTGCGCTACCGTCATCACTAATATGTTACTTCAACATGGTAAGGAGGCCTACAAAATAAGAGGCCTCTGGATGAATCCGGCCCTGGTTGAGATAAGCGCTGATCGTGAGCACCGACTCGATTCAATTTTAACTTCATTTCATGTAGTCCCTTACGTAGCCCAACCCCCCATGATCATCTTTTTGAGGTAGCTGTCCCGGGGCATTTAAATTCCCGGTTTTTATCAGTTGCATAATAATAATAATACACTGCTCAACATGTACGTGTGGTTCTACCCTCTTCCCGTATTGTGAAGCGTTCTTATTCTCCCCATGATGTAGAATTTCTAAGGTGAACTAAAGAGACAACATGAAGGATTTGGGCCAATGTCTTTTAAAGACCAGAATAAGCACACCTGGGGTTGCTGTGGTCAGTATCACACCCAGCTGCCTCTGCATCCCCAGCGCTGATGTTTACATACCGCACCAGGCAATTCATTAAGGTTTAGTTGACCTAGGAGAGGCCCAGGACCGGTTCAGATATCAACTTGCCACTAATGTTAGCTGTGGCTGGGGATTGAACTCGGAATCGCTGGATCCATAGTTGAGTTTGCTAACCACTGCGCCTCCACTCCCCAACGTGCTCGTGCACAAAACACGTAAACATGCACACATGCAGAGGGAGGTCGACTGTCGTGGAAGGATGCCTAAATACTATTGAAAACATAACCGGTGGAAAAAAATGCCAAAAAACACGCTTCTAAAAATAAAAAATAAATGCCATTCGAGTTGCCTTTTGGCACAAGGAATGTTACATCGCAGAAACCGCAAAAAATTGCAACAGCTTGGGGAGGCATTCATCCAGCTGTGGATTAATCTTGGCTGATGATGATGGTGATGAAAATACACTTCTTCAATGGGGCACTCACTGCCTTGATGTGGTGAAAAAACACATGGAGAGCCTTGAATACTTGAGTAACTACATCTAAATAGTGGTACCTAACACATTCAGATACCTGTTGAGTGATGAGACAAAATGTGTTCCTTCTAGATTTGAAGCTTTCGTGCCTGCAAGGATTAATATTCTTAGGTTTTTTCGTCAATCGTGCTGTGACGGTTCCACCTGAAGACGGAAGCTTGTGTTGCCTCCGAAACGTCGTGATTTTTATTTTATATTTATTTTACTTTTACTAATTTAAATTTAAATTTTTACCTACGTGACTTTACCGAAAAAACCTAAAAAAAATGTGTTCCCTTCACCAATGTAAATTGCCCAGTGTGATGAATTATAGTCAAGTAACTTCCATGACTACAACACATAAACTAGTCTCCATTATCCAGCAGCTCTGGCTCCACCAGCCATGGTATCAGCTGGAAAATTCAAGAGCAGGGCGTACCGAGAACTATATAATAGCCAGCCTTAATTCTTTCATTTGAATGTTTTACGAGTCCCTCAAACTGCCCCCAACCATCTCCTCATCCCATCAATTCCATTACCCCATAAATATTCATTTGGACTTCAGCCATGGAGAGCTCCAGCTCATCGTAAGCCCTGATAATAATAACATACAACAAAAAGGGGTGGCAGCCTTAAACGTGAAGAATATTTATTTACTCTTGAGGAAATCCGTCGAGCTGTAAAGCTCTGATAATTGGTTTTTAACCCTTTTATCTGGCAACAAAACTGACACCTTTTTTTACAAGGAGTCATGTTTGCATTGACCACAATACCTGCGGTCGGAATGCAAACAAAAAACACAACTCTGATAACATATGCACTGTCCTTGAAATTGATTGGTCCACACCCGAGACAGCTTTTCTTAGAGCCTAGTCTCACATGGTGTTGGACCAGATGACACCAAAAGGCGTCATGCACAGATGCTATTTTGCGTCCACCATGCCCAGCTCAGCCCAACAAGCCGGACCGAGACCACAGCACGGCCACCACCACCCGCCACCCCGCACCACCCGCCGGACGATCACTGACCAGCGCCTGGCTCACTCCGGGTGGAACCCACTCGTACGCCAGGCTCTCGAAGGTGGGGTCCTTGCGCGAGGTGAGCGGCCGCGTGATGATCATGCGGTGGCGCTTGTAGACGTAGCGAATGGCCCCCTCGGTGCCCCCCACGGCGTCCGCCTTCCTCCTGGCCGCCATGTGCGCGTGACGCGAGCCGGCGAGCAGCCAGCCGAGCCGCTGGTCCTCGGCGACGTCGCTGTCCACTCTGTGCTCCTCGGGGCCGCACCAACAGCGGGCGCACGCCTTTCTGTACCGCGCGCACGCACGCGGGCAAAGACAGCGAAGCCGCCGTGTTAGCCCATACGGGTTTGACTCTCCAACAGAGTTTTTTTTAACCCTAATAGAGTTTTTTTAAACCCTAATACAGTTTTTTTTAACCCTATTAGAGTTTTTTTTTACCCTAATAGAGTTTTTTTAACCCTACTAGAGTTTTTTTTTAATCCTAAGAGTTTTTTTTAACCTAATAGAGTTTTTTTTTATCCTAATAGAGGTTTTTTTTTGGGGGGGGGGGTTAGATCGCGAGATCGAGGGTTTGCCCTCCGACGCGCCGGTGTGCTGTTTGCTAGGAACGAATCGGCACGTTTTGGTTGACGTGACGAACCTTTACTCGTTGGCTGCGTCCGGTGATGGCGGGTTTAACGACACATTTATATTGAAGCAATCCAACCCCCAAAAAAACTATTATTATGGGTAATATTGATAGCGAAAGCTTGTTGGGCGACCAGCTGTGACGGCCATCACGGTACACAAGGGGGGACCGTGTTGCCAGCAACCACGCACGGCCGCATTTGTCTTCCTGGTGTCGATGTTTGCATGCTCCACCTAGGTACCCATTTATGGCTGAATTAACCTGGGTGAGACCCAGCACCGGTGTCAGATCATCGCCTCTGATGTAAGCCGTGGATTTGCCGCGGGATTCAAACTCGTGTCTGCTGGGTTCACGGCGCAATTCACTGTTCACTGATCAACCGGGTGAAGTATGGTGAAATAACCCCCACGATCGACAAGGCGTGGGGAGGCCCTCATCCACCAGTGGATTTATAAAAAAAATGTCTGTCCATGTGCAGTACATGACAGGGACAGTGATGGTTGGTGGTGCCAGCATTGGGTTGAGGATGACTTTTGTCATCAGGGGAGGCTCATTCGTTACATGTCTGGTTTATAATTAGGCAGCGGCGTGAATGGCGGTGCTGAATAGTTGTGTCATCTTGAAAGCTGCCTTCCTTTGGTAGCCAAGACGTGGACCAATCGAGATTTTACTGCACGCTCTGCTAGGCTGGTATGGAAGAGGTCTTACTGGAATAAGGACAATCATATGCCGTGTGAAATTAATTTCCGGCACAAAATCCCAGGCTGTTTTAGTTGAAATGAAGCGCTGGACTTAAGAGTCTATTTAAAATTTCCCAGCGTCACCGGAAGGTTGTCATAGTTTTTTTATAACTGTCCAACAACACGGGCGTTGTGCGGACGACGTGACTAACCTCACGATTCACTTGTGGAACAAGTTTGCCTGCTGACGTAAGTTGTCTGCGCATTGGACCACACTAAAAAAAAATGGTAATGCGTCATGCAGCTACATTCACAACATAGTTTTAGATGGAATAAACAAGCAATTCCACTTTCTAAGTTTGGAAATTGTTATTGTAGCATTATATTTATAGCCCTCAAATACTAACACAGTACACCAAATGAATTTTTACATTTAATGTCGTAGTCTAAAATACCATTCAGCCATGGATCAATCCACTACTGGGTGAAGGCCTCTCCAAGACGTCGCCTTCACTCACCATGCGGCAATGACACAACGCCGGCAATGACACAACACCGGCAATGCCGCATTGCCGAGCGAGACGTCCTCTCTATAGTCCCAGAGTGGAAAGTGCAATTCATGCGCTGCAGTTTAATTAAAATTACTTTGACCATTTTGTTATTATTATTGCACGCTTTCATTTAACTCACTCTGTCTGTTGTTGTCGTTGCCGTATCCTCAAATCGTGTAACTCAATTTTAACCCACTTCCCAATATGGTATCGACTGCAAACTTGGTATAGCTATGTCATACTGATGACAATACTATATCCTATCATAAAAAATAAAAACATAATTTTTAAACATAATTTTTTATATGTTATGATTCGGCTTGGGTCTAATTGTCCAAACTCAAAATCACCACTGCCCCTTACGCTATGGCAAGCTTTGCGGCCACTTCCTGGAGTCCTGCCATTATGAGTAGGGTGCATTTCATTAAAGCGTGTTTTAAAAAATTATTTTTAAATATGACTTATTATTGCATTGCTACCAAAAAACATTCTCCAAATAATTTGATCTTCTCTTTAGTGGAGGTCGCAAAGCCGTCGTGCCAAACACATCATCCCAATATATTTTCAAAAGGGACTCGATTTTAATGCAGACGTAACATCTGGCCTTATTATCTTCCTGAAGAGGAAACCGTACAGTGCTTTTGTATTTATACAATCTTTACCCCCGCTTTGATAAAAATCTAATTATTTAACATCCTTCCTGGATTAAGTAAAATAAGACCACCTGGCACTCGTCCAACTTCAAATTGGAAATAAAGAGAAATGTGTTTTCAGCAGAAAAGCTTTAGAAACATCCACAGATGTTTGTTGACACAATGCTATGGCCCTTTAAATAAGCACAGGCTGGACATCTACGTATAAAGAGTCTACTATTCGTAGGCACAATCACACATCGGTGCGGTGAATATGATTGTCAACGTGTGCTATCGCTTTCGTTTGTAGAAACGGGTTGAACAATGAGGAAATGCAACCATGGGCACCTACTGCATCTGCCGTCACGTAGAACTGAATTTAAATCGCATTGCAATAATGCCATTTTTGTTACAAAAAAAATTGACATTTAATTTTACAAACCGCAAATGATTGCAGATGCAATGCGTTTGTGTGCTCCTTGTATAAAATTGTGTTTAGCCTCTGTGCAAAGTGGAAAATATGCAGGCGAAACCGCACGTCATTTCAAATGCAATTCACTAATGATGGGATATTACCGACTGAGCCGCTCTATTGAGCTATCACTTACTGAGCTGCTATTGCCTACTGAGCTGTGTTTACCTGTTGAGCTGTTTCATTTAGCTCTGCTCTACCATTCAGCTTCCAGTGCCTATTGAGCTCATATTGCCAATTGAGCTGTTATTGCTTATTGATTCTAGATTTGAAGTTTTCGTGACTGCAAAGATTCATACTCTTTGTTTTTTTCGGTAAAGTCACGTGGGTAATTTTTTAAATAAATAAATTAAATCACGACGTTTCGGGCGCAACACGAGCGTCCTTGTCCCCACCTGACTTTACCGAAAAACCCAAAGAGTATATTGCCTATTGAGCTGCTATTGCCTAGTGAGCTGCTATTGCCTATTGAGCTGCTATTGCCTATTGAGCTGCTATTGCCTATTGAGCTGCTATTGCCTATTGAGCTGCTATTGCCTATTGAGCTGCTATTGCCTATTGAGCTGCTATTGCCTATTGAGCTGCTATTGCCTATTGAGCTGCTATTGCCTATTGAGCTGATATTGCCTATTGAGCTGCTATTGCCTATTGAGCTGCTATTGCCTATTGAGCTGCTATTGCCTATTGAGCTGCTATTGCCTATTGAGCTGCTATTGCCTATTGAGCTGCTATTGCCTATTGAGCTGCTATTGCCTATTGAGCTGCTATTGCCTATTGAGCTGCTATTGCCTATTGAGCTGCTATTACCTATTGAGCTGCTATTGCCTATTGAGCTGCTATTGCCTATTGAGCTGCTATTACCTATTGAGCTACTATTGCCTATTGAGCTGCTATTGCCTATTGAGCTGCTATTGCCTATTGAGCTGCTATTGCCTATTGAGCTGCTATTGTCTATTGAGCTGCTATTGCCTATTGAGCTGCAATCACCTCCAAGCGTGGAGCTCAAAGCCCGAGCAGTTCTCCTGACACTTCATGCACGGCTGGTGAGCAGGCCCTCCAGACAGGGTCATCTGTAACAACAGAGTTTCAACATCATCACCATCATCACCATCATCACCATCATCACCATCATCACCGTCATCACCATCATCACCGTCTCCAATAATGACGACAACGAGCAACCCTGTATCAAACCACCGCTGGATTAGGACCTCCCCAGGCCGTGCAGGTCACGGAGGGTTACTTCACCATACTTCACCACGCTGCTCAGTGCAAGTTGGTGAATGGGTGAAGGCAGTGGGGGGGGGGGGAGGTTGTCAGGGCTGGTTCAGGTTTTGCCACTGATGCTAGCCATGGCTGGGGATCGAACTCGGGTGGCTGAGTTCAGAGCACATGGCACTAATGACCGTACAACCGTTACCACCGCCGCTATATTCAAATGGTTCAATCAAAGGACGGAGTCTATGTTGCCAGACCGGATATTGGTACCGCCTAAGGGAGCATTTATATGGCTAACCCAACTCATTTAAAATGGTTATCGCACAATTCACTGTTGTGGGCCACATCAAGAAGGGGCCGTCCATAAATGACGTCACGCGATTTTGGACGACATTTGACCCCCCCCCCCCCTTCGTCACACGGCGTCATAAAAAGTCAGACCCCCCTCAAATATGACGTCACAAAGGTCTGCCCCCCCCCAAAAAAAAAAAACATGCTTCAAATTGCTTTAAACTATTGTCATTGTAGTGCGTATTTAATGTGGCGCTGCACTCTGATGCTGTAGGAGAAAACATTTATTAAAAAGTCTATTTAATTAAGTAGAACGTGTTGTCCATATTTATTGACAGTTGCATTTTGATGTGACGTCACATTTCTCAACCCCCCCCCCCCCTCATCACACATCGTCACAAATGTCTGACCCTCCCCCCCTAGGTGCGTGACGTCATTTATGGACGGCCCCAAATTAGAGCCACTAAAGTTACGCCACCTCAGGCGATACCAATAAGTGGAATATCTGGTCTGGGTTAATGGCCTCACCTTCATTGGTTCATTAACGACAATTAGTCGGTGAGCAAGACGAGACATTGGTACCACTTAAGGTGGTAGAGCTTTTGAAGCAAAAATTTGTAAAACAAAATCCATTCAACATTTTGCAGCCCTTTGTCAACCTACTGCTGGATTAAAAGCTCTCGCGTGTCGTGGTGGCTCTTCGACTGGTCAGCGAAGGTCGGGTAAAAGGAGATGCCCAGAACCGATTCAAGCAATCCCCCGTGACTGATTGATGTTAGCCGTAGTTGGGGAAACAAACTCAGGTGTCAAAGCAAAATGCGCTAACTGCTGCACCACCACTCCACCCTCAATGTCGTTTTCTGTGGCCATCAAAAGTAAAATACTGTCCAGCAATATGATAATAGCTACTATAATCACCCAGGAATGTCCTTAACGCTCGTGACGTCACTCCACGTCGACCATCCCCCGTCATTAATATTCATGGACAGGTGACGTCTTCCAAATGGACACCCCCCCACCCCTCATTCATCATCATAAGCGGGTGACGTCACTCCACATGGGGGGGGGGGGGCTCCTCCCCCCTACTCGGCGTCAACTCACAACCCTCACTACAAAGGCAGAACCCTCACGTCACGTGATCTCCGTCACGCTGTTGAGACATCAAAGTAAAAAGGACGTCACGATGATCAACGGATTATAACCTTAAAATGAAATAGGTCTGTGTCACCGCGTCCTAACAAATTGCACACGAATTGATGCAATGAATATCACGTCTCAGTCTGCTTTTCGTTTGCACGTTTCAGATTTACTACAATACGCCCGTCCTTGGACAGGCACAAGGCCAGTATGTAATGGTCAACCCATCAAAATGTCATCATGGGCCATAGACCTTACAATAAACATCAAGATAAATAAATACGTCACTATCCAAGTGGAGTGGTAACAACACGTGAGATGATTGGACTCAACGGAGAGATAACATAGTTCATTATTCACGTTGTCCGTTACTTTTTGGACAATGATCTCTTATTTTTATTGTTACATCCCAAAGCCAATTTAACTATCTCCAAAGCGACGAACGCCATTAGCACTGCCAACATAGAGTCAACATCGCTGTCAACATGATCACCATCATCAACATCATCATTACAATTATAGGGGGTTTGTACTGTTGAAATAAAACACGCGCTGTCATTTGACCATCACATGCATGTAAACCAGTGAGCATAGCATGGCATTTATGCTGTTATGAATGCAAATATGTAACAGTATTACTACTGTGCGTTACAGGAAGCAGTATTACACTGTGTAACAACAACACATTTGTCCCTGGGTAGTAAGTGTTATTTTCTAATTGCTTATGCCTCAACAGTACAGAAAATGACTATTATTCACCACAAACTTTGCTTTTGTGACCAGGACAGTGATATTTTGAAATGTACCCATTTTCAATGAGAAAACGTGTGCATCTGTGTCATTCCTTCACGTAAAGTCCTGGTCACAAAAGCAACGTTTGTGGAGAATAATAGTCATTTTCTATACTTTTTAGGCATAAGCAATTAAAAAATAACACTTACTACCCATGTACAAAAATCGTGTTACATAGTGTAACTACTACGCTTTACGATCTCGGTCGGCAGTGCTGTTAAATATGACTCGGACCAAACTACAGCAAGGCAACACAGCACATAATGTGTGTACAATGCAAGTAACCTGCTTCAAAACACGTACTGCTGTAAATGAGAGTCAAAACTTTGGTGAACACACATCGTATGAAATGTAAATTACAAACCAACCGTCATGTAAGGCATTACAAACACATGGTAACTTACAACAGCATTAACATAGTCTCACTTAGCATCATCACTCGTTAAAACAACACGGATCTTGTTCCTTCTTAATACACAGATGTCATTAGCACTCATACCTTGTGCATTTGAGACTCTAACTCCATTGGAACGTGAATACAAACGGTAGCTGATGAATGAATTCAACAGAAGCTGTGGCACAGCTCGTGAAAAATCAGAGTCTCTTCACTGACAGGTCACACTACTTGACACAAGGGACAGAGGCACAGAGCTGAGATGGATTGTTGGAACTCTTGTTAGGCGAGTATAGACTGAGCCACACTTCTGCTGCTGCTGCCGCTGCTTGCGAGGTTGCTGCAGGAATGAGATGTCAGTTCTGGCCCCCCACTCCTCACCCCCTTGTGCTGCCTCTGTTCTCAGAGCGAATGGGCTGCCCAGCGCTAACTGTGGGAGTGGTTTCCCGTTTGCAAGAGGGGCAGCCCATTGCGAGATTTGGGCCACGTTCAACAACGAGCGAACGAATGGATGTGAGTCAGTGCCGGATGATCCTTTGTAGTAAAAGTAGCTACACATAATTTAAAGCTTTTGTGACTACAGGGATTCATCTTCTTTGTTCTTTCAGTAAAGTCACGTAGAATGGAAATAATAAAATAATAAAAAGAAAACATAATAAGATCATTCTCACGACGTTTTGGCCACAAAGCAAGCCAAGCCTGGTGGTGTTCATTCAGACGCTGTCTTTCTGACAGACCTGTTCTTCACCTGAAGACGGCTGCTTGCGTTGTGGCCGAAACGTCGTGAGAATTATCTTATTATGTTTTATTTTTATTATTTTATTATTCCCATTCTGCGTGACTTTACCGAAAGAACCAAGAAGATAGCTACACATGCTACGGGCCCCGCACTTTCAAGGGCCCCGCGCTAAATGCTTTCAAGCTATCAATTCCGGTTCAGCGATTCTGCACTTGCTCTATTACTATAGTACTATACCGCCTTCAACTTTTATGAACGACTGGGTGTTTAAGGTTAGCGATTTGTCGTATTATCTGGCTGTATAGCATATGGAAAAAAACAATTACTTTACAATAAACGTAATTTTTGTAAAATATTTACGTGTTTTATTTATTTATTTATGGCTCCTTTATAACAACATATGCTACAGGCCCCGCACTAGCTTAATCCGGCACTGATTTGAGTCATGAAATATTTCACTCGGTTCGTGTTGGGAGTTGGAATGTGGGTATTACGTTTTCTGTGTGTGTATTTATTTACAATGTTATGTAGCCCTTAAATGATTCATTTATAATGATGCATTCCACTCATTCCCAATCCACCAATGAATGAAGGCCAATCAATGCCATGTCGACTATGGGTTTTTTTTCTTCACGTTCCATACTGCACCCCTGATGTTAGCCGTGGCAGGGCTTCAAACTCAGGTGGACAGTCCTCAGTTTGTTTCTGCACATCAAGATACAATATCATTTAGTCCTTCAACCTGAGTTTAACCAAAGACACCTTTGAGTGAGGCTTGCTTAAATTGCCCATTGTGATGGAAAATTATTGATATCTATATTAGCCGTGACATTATCTCATGGATTATATTTAATTATACGGCTTAGCAAGCAACGTTTAAAAATGTTTACTGTTTTTTTTACCAAGTAAAGTGAACTGAGCTATTACCTCTTTTTCACAATATAGCTCATCTAAGTGGCTTATATGATCACATGTAAGAATTTTAAGTAGCTGAATAATCTCGGCGCATGTTTCTAAATATGCAGAGCAAAACCGGAGGAACCTGGAGAAAAATTCATACAACCACCACGGAGAGAGAGAGAGAGATCACGCGAACTCTAAATATACAACAGGCGTCGTCAGGGTCGGGATCGAACTCATGCCCTCCTTCGTACAAGGCAATGATGATAACTCATCGCTACACGTACGTTCTTGGGCATGTAATCTGTGTGTGCGAGTGCGTGCGCTGTGGATGGAGCGGTATTGGAGCGATTAACGCGCTGCGCTACGAACCCGGCGAACCGAGTTCGATTCCCGCTCACCGCTAATACCAGTGGCGATGATCTCAACCGGTCCTGGGCCTCCCCGAGGTTGACTCAGCCTCAAATGAATACCTGGTGCTGTGTGTAGTAAACATCGCCCACCCCCTCGTGTGCTGTGTTGGCCTTCATAGGAGCTCGCTAACAAGCACTTGCCCCAACAGTCTGTTAAGGCTATACGTGTGAACTTTTCTTTGTATTTGCTGTGGCCCATAGCTGAATTGTGGATATGTTTAAAACAATACACGTGCAGCCCCAAGTGATTCTATTGTCGGATAAAGGGCTCTCCAAATCATGCGGGGTCGTTTGGGAGAGTTTTTTCCCCCACCATACTTCACCACGTTGGCCAGTGCAGCTTAATGCAAGTGAGGAGCATAGCAGTAGGATCATAAAATAACTGCGCAGGACAATGGATGTTTCCACAATCCCCTCTACTGCACACAACGTAGCCGCCAACCGAGAGCGGTCCGGGCTCGAAACTGCTTAGCTTGCGAGATCTGACGAGATTGATAAATTATATGAAACAACGTTAACATACTACAACTCACAAGGAATAATAGATCGGCGAGTTAGTGATGACAAATCAGCTGTGTAGAATATTTAAATGCCAATATTTAGGAAAGCATCGCTGAGTCTCAAGACTCTTTTAGGACAGTTTTGCATAAGGAATGTTGTCCAATTCCGTTTTTAGTGCTTGATGTGTTGGATGCAATTATAAAACACATTAGAATACAGAGAAACCCCATACGAGTGACACTCAGTACTACAACATCACCTGGCCACCCATCCACGCCGCCCCTACTAATACCTGACAATCCTCGGTTGCCACCCGTTAAAGTAATAACGAGAAAAAAGCTCAACAGTCTTCAATGACACTGCCTTAAAAAAAAACTTTAATTGGTGACGTTACAGGCAATGGCTCATTAATAGGCTATAGAAATTAGAGTTGGGGCCTGCCCTTAACACTATGGGGTCTGATGAGAATGAAAACAACTTTTTTTCCGAAAAGACCAGCTTTTACATACTGTATGCCTGTAAATAATGATCTGATAGCTATTAAAAAACAAACCCCTTAACAATCAAACAGTATTACAACTAAATACATGCATTTGTAATAATAGTAAAATCATAGAATATTGGTGTCACGTCATATTGCATTGTGGGTAGGTTTGTTCCACCTGGAAAAGCATTACAGGGCCCGGTTACCATTTCAAGTTAAATAACTTATATAAATGTGTCCTTATAAGGAACGAAACAGGTGGACTTCTCCACAAACCTGGCTGTCGCCTGATGAAGCTAGTTATAATTACTGGCGAAACGTCGTGCTCAGGTTGTAAATGTTGTGGCTTGGCTCTCCAATAACACCGGTGTGCTGTACTAGTATACTACACTATACACTACAATACACTCCACTATACACTACACTATATACTACACTATACTACTATACACTACACTATACAGTCCACTCCACACTAGTGCTGTACTAGTGACGAATTGGCCACGTTCTGTTGACGTGACAACCCTTACTAGTTGGCTGTGTCAGGTGGTGGTGGGTTTAATTACACATTCATATATTTACACGATATAACCCAAAAAACCCTATTATGGATCATATCGGCCGCGAAAGCCCTACTACGTGTTATATAAACACGTTGTCTCGTAATAACTCTCTTCAGACGCCTCAGTAATTTTTGCTAGAGCAGTCAACACCTGATGACGGTTGCTTGTGTTGCTTCCGAAACGTCGTGATTTAATTTGATTTGTTTTCATTTTAATTTATTTTATATTTTTTACCTACGTGACTTAACCGAAAAAACCAAAGAGTATGGAGGAATTTAACTGCCCAAAGTTTTTTTTACAGAAGAGGAGCCTGAGAAAGAAAATTTGGGGTACAATTCTGAAACCAAAATCAATAAAATAAAACGAAAAACGCATATAATAGCCAGGCTCGTATTCTTACTTGTTACACCGGAACACATTTAGGCTGATTGAGTTGATTGCCGACCGCAGGAGAGCCTCGATAATTTTTCAGTTGTCCTACAAAAGGAACTTTGTTGTCTTCAAATGAAACAAAGCTTTAATAGGAGCCATTGCTGCATTCTCAATGCTGCAATGTATTCCTGCTCTATTAGATGCAGTATTTTACAAATACGTCGCCTTGCATGTAGGTAAGTTTAACTTCTATCCCACCGTACGTAGCCGACCGTGCGAGTGGGAGGTGCGATTTGCAAGTGGACAATCCACCTCACGACATGTTCTAAGTGTACTCAAAGCTTTCGTGACTGCAGGAATTCATATTCTTTGGGTATTTCGGTAAAGTCACGTAGATAGGTTCAAAGATATAAAAAATAAAGTAAACAAAAAACTACAACGTTTCGATCACAACACAAGCGATCGTCATCCTGATGACTTTATTTTTATATCTTTGAAAATATCTACGTGACTTTACCGAAAGACCCAAAACACATTCCTGCAGAGGGAGCTGGTAGTAACGTTGGGTTGCTCGGTCAACGGCCTGCAGGGTCAACGGCGGCGTGGTCTATTCCGCAAATATGCCCGACTGTGAGGGCGGGTACAAGCCGGCGTGAGTAGGTTAAACGTTGAGTTTTATAAGGGCACCACGGGGTGACCAGCCCCTCCCCACCCAGCCTCTCCCCACCCTCCCCTCCCTCTCCACCCAGCCCCTCCCCACCCTCCCCACCCAGCCCCTCCCCACCCTCCCCACCCAGCCCCTCCCTGCACGACGGACGGACGGACACAATAATCCCCTGTGGGCTGGTGTAACCAGGAGGTTCCTACCAGTATAATATGTAATGCTGTACTTTGAATTGTCTGCTGGCTGTGTAGGAGGTTCACCACTGCCCCCCGGTGTTGATGAGTGGTACTGACAAGCACTGAACTTTAGCACGCCGCAGAGGAGAACAATGATGTAGACTACACTCGATAGATGATAGACGAGAGCAGGAGTCGGAAGCATTTAAAAGAAGAAGAAGAGCCATTATTTTGTTTTTTGTCTTTGACAAAAATAGTTCGAGAGCGGCATCACACACCGCATCACACACACACACCGCATCACACACACCCGCATCACAGACACACACCGCATCACACACACCGCATCGCACACACGCATCACACACACGCACGCCGCATCACACACACGCCGCATCACACACACACCGCATCACACACACACGCCGTATCACACACACACCGCATCGCACGCATCACACACAGAGCTACTTGTACACAAACACAGCAGGTATACAGATAATTACAAGTTCAGACTTAATAAACAAAGTAGGTGATTGAAT